TCCTATCTAGTGTCAATTAATAGTACATTTCAGTTATTACTGTTACAGTTACTGGACATAAAGTTGCCTCTTTTGTTTGTTTTTTGCTTTATTGCAATTTTGAGGAATTGAAGCTTTGTCTGTGAGAGACCAGACATCAGGCCAGTGGGGTCAAATCAGTGACAAGATTGCTTGGTGGAGAGTGTGGCACCTGGTGGTGCATCTGGCGTCCCATCGGCACAGTGAGCTGGAGTGGGAGCCCCGGGCAGCTGATGGGGCTCTTTGGCCCTGATGCTGCTGCTCCATTTCCTGGAGGCAGAGCTTTCCATCTACTCCAGTAAAGCCGGCATTCCAGGACTCGCTAGAACAGTAGCTAGAGGTGATTTGGCTTGGAAGCATGCTAGGGACGCTCTTATCACCATGGAGGTGAAGGACACGTGGAAAGGTGGTCACCTCCAGAAAAGCTTATGATTAATGTGGTGATCTGGGCACAGACATCCAGCCCAGCTTGGCCTCTTCCAAGTCTCCTCCTCTCTCCCCACCCCCCAGCCTCAGTTTCCTCCTGTGTACATTCAGAAGGCAGATGGGAGACCAGACGTGATCCCTGTGAGGTGCAGTGTGCGTTGCACAGGCCATGTCACCGAGTGAGAGCATGGTTTTGGGAAAGGATGGGAGGGACCCCACCCTTAGCACTTCTTAGGCAGAACACCTCTTGTTTGCATATACCTTTAGCTGACTTGAGGAGCTCAGGTCCACACCCCTATTGGTCCTGTGACGATCTTGATAGGAATTCAGTCCTGTGTCTTACTTAGAGCAAGGAGGAGAGAGAAAGTTTGGAAAGCTTAGTTGAGAAACAAAGAGAGTAAGACCTCTTGCATCAAAAGCATTTGTCCCCCAAGGGACAGACCTAGGTGCCCAGGGGAATGAGCACTCGACCGCGAAACCCTCACCTGGATCCTGGACAGCGGTGGTTTTCTCACCGGAAGCTCCCTAGTGGCCGGGAGCACAGCGCAGCCTGCGAGGCCGCGTGCGCAAAGCCTCTGCTGTGAGCTACTTCTGAAAGCAGAGGGGGGCCGCCTGAGAAATCCAGAGCGAGGGGAGTATTCACCAGCAAAGGGGTTTTCTAGGGCCATGAATGGCCAACTCATTCTTTCCTTTTGAAAGAAAAAAGTCTTGCTTTTCAAGGAATTTTGCTTATTGGCAAACGCATGGTGTTTTCATTCCTTTTGGAAGATGAGCTAGTTCAGTGGTCAGCAAACCGCGGCTCGCGAGCCACATGCAGCTCTTTGGCCCCTTCAGTGTGGCTCTTTCACAAAATACCACGTGTGGGCATGCACATACAGTGTGATTGAAACTTCGTGGCCCATACGCAGAAGTCGGTATTTTGTGGAAGAGCCACACTCAAGGGGCCAAAGAGCCGCATGTGACTCTCAGGCCACAGTTTGCCGACCGCTGAGCTAGTTGATTCCCTGGGAGACACGCGTATTGGAAGCACTGCACCCTGCGAGACGCCTCGTCTGACCGGGAGAAACTCCTCACTATCCTGTGGTGCTTTCCTTTTCCGCCGTGAGAAGAGACCCCAGACCTTGTGGACGTATTTTCCTGAACTTCTTTCTCTTTCTTCTTCTTATAGTTTGTTTATTTTTCAAATTGACCCGTAGAGAAAGTGACTCATTAGCGTAGAAACCACATCTGGAACCCATTGGCCGCCCGTGCTCTCTCCTTCGCTCCCCCGTGCATGTGCTCCTTGGGAATGCAGGGAAGGGGAGCACCCCTGGCTTGACAGGTCTAACCTGGGTGACCAGCTGGGAACCACCTTCCAGAGGCATTTTATTCCTTCTCTGTGAAAAGTGTTGGCATTGAAACGCCTGGAGGTGGCTGGGAAGATCCCAGCCTATGAGTTCGCAGTGAGACCCTTGGGAACCACCTCTGTGAGTAGGTGAGGGACTCAGGCCTGGGTAGTGTGCCTCCTCCAGGTGAGGAGGAGCCTGAGGGACCCAGGTTCTCCAATGGGCGTCACCAGGCCTGCTCCAGGCCGCAGCGCCATGGGAACGTAGATTCCTTGGAAGACCGCTGCCGACGAGCCGTGTCCCTATTACAACATGCCCAGCTTTCTAAGGATGTACGGGACCAGCCAGCACACAGTTCTCAGTGCTGGGCTTTGCGTGTTCAGGTGGAATTTAAGCAGCGATCAAACTTGTACATTGTCTCTGCCAGCCCCAGACACTAATTTTTAAAATAAGACAAAATGTGAAATGTGTAACTCTCGCCCTCTGGGGGCTCTCCCCTGCTCCACACACACACTCACTGCCGGACGCCGGCCGAACCCAGGAGGCCTCTCCAGGGGCCCCCAGCATCAGAGCTCACACTCGGCACCAACACCACATGCTCACGCATCAGTGGTACCTCCACATCCAGGCACGTGCTCAGACAGGATATGGGCATGCAGAACACAGGAAGACCACCCATGTCCACAGGCCACAAACAGGCATCTGTCCGATCAGCATCCACCCCCATGACTGGCAAGAGCAACCACCCCCCCCCACCCCCTCCAGCACAGCTGCTTCCTGCTGGGCTCCTTCATGTGAAGGTCAGCCACAGGCTGTACTAAGGGATGAGAAGCCTAGACAGTGGTCCCATTTGGGAGGGGCTTGGGGCCCCGAGGGGCCAGCCTCAGGGGCGCTGGGTTGGGACCCGTTTCTGGGGTGAGGTAGCTGGCCTCCCACAAGATGCCGTTGAGCAGGCACAGCAATGTTCAGACGCGTATAAAGTCAGGCTGGCCCTTAGCCGGCACTCACCTCTCAGGCTGGGTCTACTCTCTGATGTTGATAATCCAGAGAAAATATGCTTCTAAATTCCAAAGACACCTGGATGTCTTCCAATTACACAAAATGTGGAGACTCACATTTAACCAAAAAGTGTTCTTGATAAAATATGCCCCTCACCCTGGCCTGTGGGCTCAGCTGGCTGTCCCAGGCACCGGGGGCTGCCAGTTCGATTCCTGGTCAGGGCACATGCGGTGTGGGCTCAATCCCCGACCTGGGGCAAGTAGAAGGCAGCCGATGGATTTTAGGCTCTCACATCGATGTTTCTCCCTCTCCTTTCCCCTTCCTCTCTCTCTGAAAACCAGTCAACAATTTCTCTCCCCTGCCCTGGTGCTGGGCCTTTCCCATGAACAAGGACCTCTATTGGTGGCGTCCTTGGCGGCACCTTCCTCCGTGCGGGCCACGTGAGCGCTCAAGGGGTGTCCGGGCGTCCTTGGGCCCGAGTTCTCCTGGTCGTGGGGTCCAGCGAGGGGAGGGGGCGTGGGACGCCGCGTTCACCGCTCACAGATAAAGAGAAGCCGTGAAGAGGGCGCACACATTGTTGGGCGCCCCTGAACGTGCCAGGTGCTGTGGGGGACGCTGTGAGCTTCAGGATGCCAGTGAGGATCAGGTCAGGCCCTGCAGGCAGAGGGCTCGGAGCCTGCCAGCTGCTACCATTTCTACTTTTAAAAACACAGCTTGGGATTTGTTTTAAAAAGTGGTGCACAGCCTCAGAAAAAAGTCCGCACGGGCTGGGCTGATTCTAGAAAATGCCGCAGAGCAGGCAGCATTTGACTCAGGCTTGAAGGACTGACAAGATTTAAGTGAAAATGAGGGAGGGGCAGGAAAGGAGGTGACACCAGGTGACTTGCCCTGTTAACTCTGGAAGAAGCAATAGAGGTCTGTTGTCTGATGGGGGCGGGATTCCGGGGCTTGGGGCACCGGGCAGCCTTGCCCTCTGCCCAAGGCAGCAAGGCCCCTGGCCTGATGGGCCACAGCCAGGGAGGCAACCTGGGCTGCTGAGCAACGGAGGAGACCCGCCCGGGCCCCCTGTAGGCCCCACTGCTAGTCCAGCCGCAGAGCCTGCCCACGGTCCCCTTTTGAAGTTAGGAGAGGTTTCCGCCACACTTGGCCTTCAAGCTGACCTCCAAGTCCTCCGTGGCCTTAGCTGTCATGGACGGGCCAGGGAAGGGCCAGGGGCAGTTCCAGGCTGAGCGCAGACAGCAGCTCAGGTGCCAGGACCTGCGGGGTTCCCAGAACAAGCAGCACAGTGAGACTCCTGGACACTGGGAGAAACCCAGGAAGACACAGTGGGGCCCCTCTGCCCAGGCTCAGAGGACAAGGTCCCGCAGGCCAACGAAGGGCGGGAGGGCGGGCCTGAAGTATTTGCAGGGCCCTGGGACCCGCACCTGAGGGCGGGAAAGCAGTTACCTGGAGGGTCCCGTGGGCAGGGCACCCTGCTGGGGTCTCCTCTGCTTCCCCCTCACAGCAGCTGCCCACGCTGATCCCTGTGTCCTTCCAGGCGCCAAGGCCTGTCTGGGCCTGGGATGAGCTCAGTGGGTAGGTGAGGCCTTGAGAGCCCATCACACCCCAAAATGCAGAACCCCATGTCATTGGAGGACGGTCCATTTGCCCTCAATCCAAATCTAAGGTTGTGAATTAAATGTTAAAAAGTACAAAAAAACTTAACCGAATACACATGGTGGGCTGTTTTAGATTAATGCCATCTGATCTTAGTTACGCATTTATTATTCAAATAACTTAAAGGTAAAGTCAGTGAGTCCACTGAAAGCCCTTTCTTCCTTGGTAGCTGGGTCCCCCTGGACATCCCAGGAGGCCGCAGGCCGGGTGGGGAGTGTCCAGGTCTGTGGGGGAGGCATTAAAATCCAGGGCCACCCAGGGCCTGGCTCGTGGGCTCACCACCTTCACTGTCTCACTAGTCTCCCAAGTTGGTTGTGTCTTTGGGCTCATGTGCACTGATTTGATTTAGTTTGGGCGGGGGTGGGGTGGGTGGGGTAGTTAGTTACAGCTGCTATTCAGGCCTTTGAGTTTTCCCTTTAAGCTCAGTGGAAGTTGACTCCACTTTGACAGGTGTGTATTCCTTCCTCCCCAGCTCCACGCTCAGCTGCTCACCAGCTCACCAGCTAGTCTGAGGTCAGGGCTAAGGGCCATCAGGATCTGGCTTCTGTCCTGGGCCCTGCTGGGCTCCAGGGAAGGCAGTCAGGCAGTGTGGGCTGTCCTGTGATGTCACTCTAAGACTCACCAGAGAGCTCTCAGATACCAGGTGGGCACCTTCCCTAGTCCATCCTATTTTTTTCGGCGTCAGATACTCCTCAGCTTCTCCTGCTAACTGAGAATAGTGGTGTGCCAGCTCCCGTGCAGTAGGTGAGGATTAACCGATAGCGTTTCCAGAGGGAAGTTCTCTTTGGGTCTGTGAATGACCAGGGCTCCTCCCTGAACACCCCTCCTGGCAACCAGACACCAAGCACTCCCCAGCCCTCCTCCATCACCGGGAACTTGGCCTGCGTTGAGAGGCCCTCTCTGAGCCCCTAGGCCCAGCTGTCCCAGTGTTTCACCATTTTTGGTGCCTTCCTCCAGCTTTGCTGCCACCCTTGCACTGGGCCCCTCCTTTTTCTGTTTGCAGGAGCCCATTCCCAGCACCCCAGCAGGCGTCTGGCCAGGATCACTCCGGAAGCCTGAGCTGGTCTTTGCTAGAAATGGACGTTCCTGAGGCGTCCTCTAGTGGATCTGACCGTCTGTAAATTCCAAGTGATGTCCAGGGTCCTCACGCCGCGGCCCAGCCCCGGCCCGGGAAACGGGACTCTGTACGAACATTACAACTACGTGGGCAAGCTGGCCGGCCGGCTGACGGACGCCCCCGAGGGCAGCGCGCTCACCACCGCGCTGTTCCTGGTCATCTGCAGCTTCATCGTCCTGGAGAACCTGATGGTTCTGATTGCCATCTGGAAAAACAAGAAACTTCACAACCGCATGTACTTCTTCATCAGCAACCTGGCTCTCTGCGACCTGCTGGCCGGCCTCGCCTACAAGGTCAACATCCTGATGTCAGGCAAGAGGACGCTGAGCCTGTCTCCCACGGTCTGGTTCCTGCGAGAAGGCAGCATGTTTGTGGCCCTCGGGGCATCCACCTGCAGCTTACTGGCCATCGCCATCGAGCGGCACCTGACCATGATCAAAATGAGGCCCTACAATGCCAACAAGAAGTACCGAGTCTTCCTTCTCATCGGGATGTGCTGGCTCATCGCGCTCTCGCTGGGAGCCCTGCCCATCCTGGGCTGGAACTGCCTGCAAAACCTCCCCGACTGCTCCACCATCCTGCCCCTCTATTCCAAGAAGTACATCGCGTTCTGCATTAGCATCTTCACCGCCATCCTGGTGGCCATCGTGATCCTGTACGCGCGCATCTACTGCCTGGTGAAGTCCAGCAGCCGCAGGGTGGCCAACCCCCAGCACTCGGAGCGGTCCATGGCCCTGCTCCGCACCGTGGTGATCGTGGTGAGTGTGTTCATCGCCTGTTGGGCCCCGCTCTTCATCCTCTTCCTCGCCGACGTGGCCTGCAAAGTGAAGGAGTGTGCCGTCCTGTTCAAGGACAAGTGGTTCATTGTGCTGGCAGTGCTCAACTCGGCCATGAACCCCGTCATCTACACGCTGGCCAGCAAGGAGATGCGGCGGGCCTTTTTCCGGCTGGTCTGCAACTGCCTGGTCAGGGCCCAGGGCACCCGCTCCTTGCCCATCCAGCTCACTCTCGACCCGAGCAAGAGCAAGTCCAGTGGCAGCAACAGCAGCCCCTCCCCGAAGAGCAAGGAAGACATTACCCAAACGGCCCCCTCACCCTGCATAACGGACAGAAACAAACCCCTGCAGAATGGGCTCCTCTGCAAGTGAGGGCGGGGCTCACGGGGCAGGTCCTCGCATCTCCACGGGAGGAGCACCCCCCAGCTCTGCGGCACCTGCTTGTTTTTTTAAAATATATTTCTATTGATTTCAGAGAGGAAGGGGGAGGGAGCGAGACAGAAACATCAATGATGAAAGAGAATCGCTGCCTGAGAATCATTGATCAGCTGCCTCCTGCACAACCCCCACTAGGGATCGAGCCTGCAACCCAGGCATGTGCCCTGACCGGGAATGGGCCGTGACCTCCTGGGTCATAGGTTGACGCAACCACTTATGCATAGCAGCCTCGCCAGGGCTTTACCGGAGCTGAGACTCGGGAAATCAGTTTTGCCAGCAGCCTGCTGGGTGAGGCTGTCTCTTCAGGCTGGGACTCAAGGGCTCGCCAACCCATTTCAGTGTAGACAGTGCTCGTTGTCCGTTTCCGGTCAAAAGCCTTCCAAGGGTACCAAGCTGCACGGGGCTTCACGGGGCCACTGTGGCATGTGCAGAAGCTGCCGCACTCAGTGCAGTTCACATGTTCTGACCGTGCTGTTAGGACATGACTGGGAACAGGTGACACCAGTCCCAGCCTCAGACAGACGTGAAGTCGAGTTGAGCAGGTGTTGATGCCAAAATTCTCGGAAAGCCCTGTCCAAGGCTGTCCCGGGAGCCTGGATCTGATCTCACACAGCCCTGACACGTGCCCAGGAGCAGGTCAGTATTGAAGGATCCTGGCAAGAACAGCCAAGTTCCCCGAGGACCGGCCTCATGTCCCTGCACAGTGTTAAGGACATCCGGAGCCAAATTAGCCACATTACATGATTATTCATGGGTTTCCCCAAATCACAGAAAAGTCAACCAAGGTCCTTCAGGAGCCTGAGCCCCAGACCAACTAAGAAAGGCACCTACCTGGAGAAGCCAGGACAGACCCCGGGGCCGCCTCGTCAAGTTGCCGGCAGCAGCCACCTGCTGAATGGAACATTTCTACTGAATTAGGACAGGCTACGAGGCATCGCTTTGATCCTGTGTTAAGTTTGGTTCTGTATCAGCAAAGCACCACGTCAGAACCCCGTGTTGTCACAGCTGAGGAGCTGGGCCAGCCGCCGTGTCACCACTTCCGACAGCTGCCCTGGCAGTCACTGTTCCAGCAGCTGCGTTGTCAGGGGGCAGACGTGAGCTGGGGGCTGCGCCCTCTTCCAGGCAGTGTACCATCACAACCTTCCTTCCGGCGCAGGCCGCTGTGTCACTGTCTGCCTTACGGGGGTGCGCCAGGCGCTCTCGGGCAGCTCATCCCCAGGGGTTCTACGTGAGCACAGGCCAGAGCTATGTCTGTAGCGCTCTCATAAGAACACGGTTGACGTGCTAAGTTCTTGAAAAAATCAAAGCAAACAACCTTCAAAAGGATTCTTACTTGGGGAAACCTTCATGAAGTTTTAGTTTCGGTGCGAATGTAACCTGAGTAAAGACGGAAAGAGTAGTGTTAACACGTTAACTTCTCTGCAGAGAAATTGACTCCTGTTTTTCTGACACGAGTTCCTGCCATTGAGGGACATTTCTGTGGTCCTGGGGCATCTCTGTGGAGTGACCACAGACTGTCCCCATGTTATTACTGACGACATACATCCTGTTCGTAAGGAGAGGTTCGTCAGTGGCATTTTTTGTGACCTTCCTACATCACTGAAAAAGAACTTACTCCTTTACCCTGTAACATGAGAAAACCCGGGGCATTTCTTGCAAAGTTAAGCATTAAGGTACGGGGTTCAGAAAAAAACGCATCAGAGAGCCAAAATGGTGGGCATTCCCTTTCGCTGAGGTCACAGCGTGCCTGTCATGGTTCGAGTTGGTTTGGGGCCCAGGTCTCAGGTGCTAATAATAGTAACACTTCGCACCATAGCCACAATTTCGAAGGGAAGTTCAAACAATCTGAATGAAAAGTACTCACAAGAGTAATTGTGTTCATTTGATATGTGCAAAAAATAATCAACTGTAACATGCCATGTGTGCTCCTAACTAGCCAGCCCAGAGGGCTGAGTGCTCAGCCACAGACAGCCTGCCCAGGGGTGTCCTTCACTTAGTAACCTGCGTTATGTCCCATGTATGTGTGTTAAAAAATAAAACCAAAAGCCTTTGTGTAAACCGCTGTTGGGAGTCCATGTGGGGGTGCACGCCGGGGCGACGCCTGGAGGAATGCAAGGCGGCAGCCTGGCCTCTCCCCTGGTCCCGGTGTGTCCGGGAATGAAACCACACAGAACCCCGAAACCTTCCCACCTGTACTTCCCTCTGGTGCACCTTGGGCTCCGTGAAGCTGGTGCAGCGGGCTGTCCCCATGCTGCTAGGCCAGGCTGTTTGAAGGCTGGTAGACTGCCCTTTGACAGAGACGGTGGTGAGAGCGTGGCAGTCAAGGTGGGGCCAAGAGACGAGATGTTTGGTTCTCTCCATTTGCAAAAGGAGAGAAGAGGTCGGAACTGGCCCTTTCCCGACTTTCTCCTTTACAAGCGGTAAGTTTGTGTGTGTGTGTGTGTGTGTGTGTGTGCGTGTGTGTGTGTGTGTGTAATGTTCTACAGAGAGCAAGGCCAGCATTTGGCATGACTAGGATGGTGACCACAGGCATGAAGAAATCCCTAACACAGCCAAGCACCTGCTTTCTGCTGCCTTAGCTTCTGCGCAGGCCAGTGAGTTGACACAGGCCCCTCAGAACGCGTCTGCCCAGCTGCCGTGCTCACCCACACCCTTGGCCATGGGCAGGCGTGGCTGTGCTCCTGCTGTAGAGACTGGAGAGTGACCGAGAGAACCTGCTTCCGGTGGACGGGTTTCAAACTCCCTTCCCCTCTGTTGAGGCAACACAAGATCCACCATCCAAATGCGAGACTTTTCATGATGTGCTTTATTGCTCACGGAGTTACAACGACAGTCATTTAAACAATGGACGAAATAGAAAACAAGGTGCATTTTATAGAAAACTACCTTATCAAGTCCATGCTTTAAGTGGTCTCTCGGAGGGCAAAACCTCAACCCAGTGATTGAGTGCTAAGTCAGATATCAAAGGGTTTGCCCCGAGTCGGAAATGCACTATTCTGAAAATGAAGGCACGTTTTCTGATAACCAGTGGGAAGTGCAGCATTGCCTGCGTGGGTGACAGCCTCCGTCCTGGGCCACTGGTGACCCTTGGGTACCAAGCAGCCCCTGCACTGGCCACCCCAGAGGCACAGGGACGTGCCAGGTGCATCAAGGGCTTGTAGCTGGGGCCATGGCATCTCCTGACGGAGGAATGTGGGTTCTCAGAGGGTGAGGAGGGCATTGAAGCCACTTTCCTTCCCTGTCGCATTGCCAGAGCTCCCAGCTGTCAGCCAGATGACTGTGGCGTTACCCTGTCGTGGAGCGGAGAGAACTTGCATCAGGCTGTATTCCCACTCTGCGGGCCACAGCAGGAAGTGGTGAGTGGGCAATAAACCCAGACACAGAACTTCACAGGAAAGCTTTTCTGTTTCACAAAAGTTAATGGAAAACCAAACACATTTTAAAATAATATTTATCAATATGTATAATTTGTCATCCAAATGCTTTTTAAAAAAGGAAATCTTATTGTTACACATTAAGTTTATGTAGAGTTCTTGCCTAATCCTTGGCTTTAAAGATGAACTGTTTAATTCTTGCTTAAATCTGAATACAAAGAACATTCACATAATTTACAGTATTTATTCTAGAACAAGTCATAGTCAAAGGAACAGAGAACATTCCATGTGCAATCAACACATAGTTGTCACAGGCAATTCTGTTTTAAGGATGGGTTCTCCCATTATTTTTGGCTTTGTTAACTGTCACTTAACTGAACCACCAAACCTCAGGACCACAGCAGGCCCTCCCACGTGCACACTTTCTACCTACAGCATCTCGAGGTGACTCAGCCAAACGGAAACTTTGAGATTTCAATTCCCACGTGAGGGAGCCCTGTGTGTAGGGGCCTCGGGGACTCACTTATTTGGGGCCCTGTGAACGCGGGAAGGAAGAGAGAAGTGAGGAAGCTGCCTCACCTGCACCCCGCACCCCTGCTAGCAGCAGCTCGTGCCTCCCGCCTCCTCCTGGGCCTTCCTGCCTCATCTGCCTGCGTGTCTCCTGCCCTTCAGTTGCCAAAGCCTTCAGGCCCACCCAGGAGCTCCGGCCGCCACAGTCCTCTTGCTCTTGGCCACAGCCCCATCCAGCTTATCACACCCACACCCTGTGGTCCTCCTGGGTTTCCTCACAGGCAGGCAGCTCCCCCATCCTGCACGTCTCTATCCCGGGAGCCCAGACAGCACCTGCCGCGGGGGAACTAGTGTACGGACCAGAACACAAGAAGGCTGGTTAGACGCTGGGAAGTGCCAGGGACACAGCGGCTGAGGGAGGGCACCGTGCCTCACCCCCCATGGCAGCTGATGGGTGGGCCTCTGCCATGCCTGGCCTCTCGCAGACACTGCGCACTGATGACCACAGGACGGGCGCCCCTTCTCTCCTTAGGCTCCTCCACCCTCCCCCTTTTTCTCTTCCCCCCATCTGCCCCGGCTGGCCTGCCCGCCCCTGTGTCCCTCTACCATTCCCCACCATGGACCCTGAGGCCCTCCTGTCTGTGTCTGCAGCATCCAGGACTCTCCTACAGATGTCTGATGCCAGGACGCATCCGTCTCCAGACTCCCAACATTTGTTTCCCTTTTTGTCTAGTTGTCCTCTTTAGTCAAAATATCAACACCCCGGGAGGAGTCCAAGGTGCGATTTGTACAGTCAGCCTCATGGCACACGGACAGACGCACACACATCATAACCAGTGCAGGCACATGTGTGTGCAGACACATCACAACTGGCATTCGAAAGTTCTCATATGACGTTCAATTTTTCTGGCTGCTATAAAATGTGCCAGTTTTAAAACCGTGTGTTCTGTTGCTTGCAAACATATAAACCCCATTCGAATAAATGGTGGCTGGTCGCTGGCAGTTCATCTTCCAGCGATGGTTGCATGGAGTTCTAGATGTTATTAACCTCACCCCGGGACCCGTGACAGGAAGGAGCATGAAAACACAGGGTGGGCAAAAGTAGGTTTACTGTTGTGAGTATGCAAAACAGTTTATTCTTGTATCATTATTTATGGATTATTGTATTAATTTCCATAGGAACAACAGGTTTACAACCTGCCTTTGCCCCACCCTGTGTAATCACAGAGGAGAGAAGCTGGCAATAAGGGGCATCTGAGGGCTGGCAACTCACACTTGAGGGTGGTTCTCAGAGTCTACACTGCCCGCCAGCTCACTCACGGTTTATGAGAAATGCAAGTTCTCGGGCCCGTCCAGACCTACTGAGCCAGGAGCTCTCGGGTGGCCCGCGGCTCTGAGGCTGAAATCCCTCCTCACGCCACTTAGAATGAAGGCCTGTCCCTGCCAGAGGACTCCGTGGTGCACAGGCTGCCCTGTGGCTCAGTCTGAGGTGTGTCCAGTCCCCCGTGCGGTTAGCTGCCTCCCGGGATCTGCCTGATCCTGTGTGTTCTTGTCAGCTTCCTTCCCTCCCCCACCGCTGGGTCACCCCCCGGAGAAACCACAGACACCCAGTTCCTCTCTGAGGGTCTGCTTCGGAAGGCACCCCAATGACACGGAGGCAGGGCAGCATGTCAATGCTCGCGCTTGCCATTATGCATTTTGGAAAAAAGCTGGACAAATGTGAGCCCGAGGGGGGAGGAACTACGTCCACTTCCATGGGGGCGAGCTTCCCTCTCCAGCCCTGAAGGACCCTAGAGGGTCCTGTGCTCTGTCCTAGATTCAGCCCGTGGCCGCCTCCCTCAGTCTCCTGGCTCCAGTCGCTCACTGGAAAATGGGTTCCTCCGGCCGCACCCCCCGGGAGCACCCCTGCTCATGGGGAGCAGGACAGCTCCGCAGTTTTCCTGCTGCTTTTTCTGGGGACCAATTTTGTAAGTTTCACTACAGAACCAGAGCATCATTCTGAAACCCAAGGCCAAGATTCGTCTGTGTTCCGCAGCGCCCTACCTGCCATCTCCCCCAGCTCTCCTCTGCACTCCCCCCGCGGCCAGCACCCCGGGAGGCGTGTGAGAGGAGCCATGCACATTCTGGCGGAGCATCTGAGGAAACTGTCCTGCCCGCTACACGGAGTCCCCACCCCCACAGGCCCCGGGGGACCGCACAGCCCGCGGTGCAGGCGGCCAGCTCAAGGCCGAGGGGGTCTGCGTGTGCACAGCCCAGGCTGGATGGGGGCCTCTTCGCTGGAACTGCGGTGGGGGGAAACCTGGCTGGCCCGCGGGTGGTGGCTGATGAGGGACGCTGGGCAGGGCCACTTGCTTTAACGCACTCCGGCATGAGGGAGCCATCGAGCACTGACCCTACTGCAGGGGAAGCTTCACATTAGGAGTGGGGGGTGGGGGGATGGGTCCTTAGGACCCCGGACAGGCATGGGGTCAGAAAACGTGTCAACAGTGTCCCGAGCTGGGGCACAGCGTGTGCTCCGTCATCCTCCCCAGCCTGCCTCCGCCACAGGCCTTGGCCGCACACCTGGCTTGTCACTTTGTCCTCAGTGGGAATGACGGGTGGCAACCTTCGCCACAGGAAGCTCTCAAGACACCACATGCGCCCCATCGGGTCTTTGCCCCTCGACCCCAACACCGAGTCAGCCGGGAACAGAATCGTGCTGAAATGGGACACGGCTCGAGGCTGGGTGCGAACCAGTGCTTTGGCCGCTCAGACAATAGTTTTTAAAAAGGCAGACGTGGTGGCTTGAGGCCCAGGATGTGCACTGGCAGTTGTCTCAGTGCCTGTTTATCAGACTGTCCACAGCGCCCCGGGGTCTCCCTGGGAGACGAGCATCAAAGCTGACAAGCCAGGGGTGCGCGGCTTCACGGAGGCTGCCGGGCCCCCCCAGGACAGGCTGCCATCTGAAGCCCGTGAGTTCCTACCCTAGGGTGGTGCAGGCAGGAGGGGTGGGCTCCGGAGCCACTCTGCACCTGGGCACTGCAGGACTGCCCGCCTGCCCAGTGCCCCCTGCACACGCGGAGGCTGGGCCCAGCGGCCAGGGGCCCAGGAGAGGGCAGCGAGCCTGGAGTGTTCCGTGGGCCCAAGTGGCTCTGTGCGGCCACAGCATGTGTGTCCCGGGCGGCAGGGGCCCTGGAGCCACGCCTAGAGCTGCTCTGCCTGCCCCGCCCAGGCAGGGACACGCGGGAGAAACTGCTGGAGGAGGGGTGCCATCTGGGCAGCCAGGAGGCACCATGGCATCTGCCTCCAGCCCTGAGCTCCATGCGCAGCGGAGCGGGGAAGGAGGGATGCGCAGACCAGCCCTGCTGCCCCTCAGTGCGGGGCTTCAGCAAGAGGCGCCTCGGGCTCCTGCCGTGAGGGAGGCTCACAGCGATGCCCACCCCGTGCCGAACGGGGAGGCAAGCTGGCTCCTGTGAGCTCGGCCGGCTTCACAGTGGAGGGAGAGCAGGCAGGAAACCTCGGCCCCGCCAGACACGGCCGTTCCACTGTATGTGGTCGTGGGACCTGAGCTTTAGAATGCGTATTTTGAATTCATATTGAAACAAAATTTGATCCCCGAATACTTTTAATTTTCTAAATTGATCCTCATGCAAAAACACATCACATGTATAGAGCTTATCACTGAGCTAAGCACTGACTTCAGCAGAGAGCGCACTCGGACTA